AACAGTTGAAACAATTAAGAAGGAACGGTAGTTGGAAAGTGGAGACTTGGTAACAGAAAAGAGACCAGAAATAGAATGATCGAATTTTATACATTGAATAATTTATTCATTGCAAGTTCCTTTTTTAAAAAAATCAAACTTAAATAGGATTCCCCTCAGATGGACAGCATAGGATCAAACTGACTACATCTGTGGAAGGAATCGCTGCAGCAGCAAAAATATCAGCAGTAAAAAAAAAAATAAATAAAAAAAATCAGCAGTCAAAATTACACCAATTACTCATGTGCAAGTTCTAATTGAAGCTGATGAAAATTAAAATAAGTCCACAAGAACCAAAATATGATCTTAAGTCAATCCCATCTGAGTTTAAAAATCATCTTAAGAATAGATTTGAAGCGTTGAACATTAATGATAAAAGACCAGATAAGTTGTAGGGTGACATCAGAGTTATAAACCATGAAGAAAACAAAAGGTCATTACAAACACAGAGGAAAAAGAAAAAACAAAATAGGTGTCAGAAGACACCATGAAAATTGCACTAGAACATCCAAAAGCCAAAAGAAAGGGAACAGGTATTGAAGTAAAAGAGCTAAACAAAAGGCAGCTTGAGAAGACAAAGCAAAATATTGTAAAGGAGTGTGAAGAGAAGTGGAATTGGAGAATAAAAAGGGATGAACTCACTCTGCATTTCTCAAGCTGAGAGACCTGAAAAAGCAAACTTAAGTCTCAAGATGCAATAGTTGCAGATGCTATGGGAAAAATATTTTTTATTTAATTTATTCATTATTGTACATTTTTCTCCCTCTCCCTCCCTTTCTTCCCCCAGTCCACTTTGCAATGCACCCCTTGTTCTAGATTTTTGTCATATGTATAATGCCTAATCATATATTCCTGTCACACAGCTCTTCCTACAATCTGTACTAATGCAGTGTTCATTGTCTATCCACTCTTTTCACTATTCTCCCCTCAAACTCCCATATCAATCTCATTTTATAACAGTAGTGTTATGCAGCAACACTACTGTTATATCACATGCAAGCAAGATTCTACTGAAGATTATCCAAAAACGATTAGAACAGCACATCAACAGAGAACTGCCGGAAGTCCAGGCTGGGTTTAGAAGGGGTCGTGGTACTAGGGATATTGTTGCTGATGTTAGATGGATCTTGGCTGAAAGCAGAG